AACCATACTAGGAATAACATATATAATCCACCACAGTCATTTTTTAGCATGTTATTATAAATTCATACCCAAAATAAACATTTAATTCGATCAAAACCATCAATTGGGTTAAACTCAAGCATAAACTAAAACACTAGAAATTGCATTATTCAATTAATAATCAAATTGACATGCCAAATGATGGGAAAAACATCAAACTAGCTATTAAATCCAAGGAAATCGACAATTAGACATACCTTAAGTTGATGTAGAGAACCCCAAAATCCCCAAATCCAAGCCCTAATTTTTGGAATTCCAAGGTGCACCAAAAACACTTTTGCTCCGATCAAATCGTAAATCTTAACGAGCTCTTCAATTTGCCACAAACGGAACCAAAAATTTCCTAATAGTTTGAGAAAAATCGAGATTTAAAGCTTGTAGGGAAAATAAATGAAAAGAGAATGGGGGAAAGAGATTCGTTGAGAGAGAGAGAGAGAGAGGAATGAGGAAAAGTGAGGCCAAAATTGGCCTCTTGCCCTCTTTTAATAAAAATTAGTGGGTCCCACCTTTTAAAATATCTTTTCCCTTTTTTAATTTCTACCACAAATATATATATGCACATAATAAATCACAACCACATAAAACACATTAAACAAAATAAATGAAATACAATTAGACCCAAACAAAACCCCCGGACGCGACAATTCCGGTAGCGGGTCCCACCTAGGACTCCCGGCATAAGAAGCAGAAAAATGCCGAAATGGTAACCCATTCATTTCTAAGAGTCCTGAGCTCAATGGAATGCCCCCAACTAACTCTTAGACATAACTGGCACACCCCACGGTGTTCGGCACGCGAAACGAGAAAAGACGAAAATACCCTAGAAAAAAATCAGAAATTCCAGAAAAATGGAAAATGAGAAAAATCAGAAACGTCACATATGTTGGAAATGTGTAAAAATGCCCCCCTGAATTTTCTCCTTCCTTTATATACTATATATGTTTCCTTAAATGTTTTTTCTTAAATTGTTTTATTATATTATATATATGTAATTGATTAATTTATCTCATCCCAGAAATATCAATCTCTATATATATCCACCTATGTCTCTTTATGTATATATACTCCATAAATACTAATTTATATGTATTTAGTGTATAATGTGCCCCCCTGAAAAAAAAAAAATTATGCCTCTGTCCCTGTAGCTAATTTAATGATTCTGTCATATATAAAGCCATATCTAACAATGAGTTTACCTTATTAGTTATCTCAATGATTACATCACATACATTCATTTATTTCATCCACAAGGCATAAATTAGAGATATAACGAATAATACAATCATAGATCATGTTTATAGATCACAAGGACATCAACATATATAATTAAACCATAAATTAGATTATGAAATTAATTGCACAATTAACGTGTTAGCACAAAATAATTTAGAACTTATTACGTAATTTAACCATTTATAGTAATTACGTGTAACAATATATAGCATGTATTTTCCACTAAAGTGGTAAAATTGACCAACCACTACCATATTGTCCAAAAAGTGGTTATAACAAATATTTAAATAACACGTTACACGTCATATAACTATTTAGAATTATTCACCCAACACCTAATCAACACAACATTATCCAAATTGGTTATAACAATTGGGATAAAATATATAACTAACACGTTATTTAATGTACGATATAGTTTAACCAATACGTAACCAATGCAACGTTTTCCAAAAAGCGAATACCCACTTAAAGTGGTAAAACAATTTGGACACAATTAAATATGGATTTAGGGGTCCTTGTTTTACGGGATTTCCGAGTTGTATTTTTGGAGATTTAAACATTTATCGATTTTATGGATGGTTGAAGATTATTATCATTTATTATTATTTCTTTTTGCTTTTAATTTTTTTATTTTATTTATCATTTTGTACTATTTGCTTGCTTATTATCTATTGCCTATGATATCACCCGATTTTTGCGTGTATGATCAACTTATGTGTGAAAATTAGGGGTATCATAATTAAGGTGAGTGAGAGTCTTTGCGTTGTTGAACAATATTGCATGTGTGTCTATATATATATATGGTAAATTACACTGACCTCCCATGATGTTTGAACAAATTACAAATATAAAGAATATTTTAGCGTTTATTACTTTAATCTCCCTTAAACTGGTTCACGGGTGGCCCAAAAGTGTGAAAGTCAGTAATGCCCTTATATTATAATATAGGGCGAATTACATTGACCTCCTCGAGATTTATCATAATTACATGGATCTCCCCTACCATTTTTGAAATTACTCGAGCATCCCCTAAAAACTAAACCTTGTAACACACACCACCTTGCAACAAACATATTTTTTTTTCTTTTCCATAATTTCAACTTCATAAGTCACCTCCTTATAGACAACACCCGTTATTTATGGTTAATTATAACATTGTGTTGTTGCAATATGGTGTTGGAGAAGGTATACTTGAATTTTAGGAGGTGATTTACATACATATATGGATGTATGAATAGATTAGGAGTGAGGTAGAATTCAAAATGTTTGGAAGCAAATCGAATTTTCGTCATGGACTAGTGGTAATTGTTAAAAAGGGAGACCTATGTCACAAGATTTGTTTTAGGGGGTTAGAGTAATTTTTAAAATTTAAGGAAGGTTCGGTAATTATGATAAACTTTAAGAAAAATTAATATAATTTTTATTTTATAGAAGAAAAGGAAAAAAATTATTATTTTATAAAATTTGGCATCGAAAACAAAACAATTGAATCACAAATATGAGGAATAACTAAATGCCAAATGGTCTTTCTTTACCCAGAACTCAAGGGAAGTCTGTAATTTACCCATACGTATATATACACACACGATATGGTAATAGACTAATAGAAATCAATATCTCATCGCTTCAGCGTACAGCCGTTCTAGAGATAACCAATTACCCTCACTCTCGCATCCCTCACGGCCTGCCACCGAAGCCGGCTTCGTCAACCTCGCCGACCACCCGCCCACTGGTTTTACGGCCTACGGTCAGTTCTCTCTCTTTTTCTTTTTTTCTTCAAAGTTAAAGATCCATTGCTGTGTGTGGTATACCCAAAGTACAACTTAGTGAACTTGCTGCGTGTGGTATACATAAAGTAAAACTCAGTGAACTTACTCCGTGGGTGGACAGCGGCTGTCTATATATTATATGTCTAAAGTGCGTATAGATTTACACCAATTTATTACTTGAAAAATGGGTAAATCTTTATTTTACAGATATTTGTGTTTGATTATGATTTATGGGTTCAATTCGAACAGAATATACATCCAATCTTCTGAAATTTCTTTATCTTTTACACAGATCTAATGATTCTGATCTCATAAAATTACTTTAACAGAACACATTTCATTTATATATTTCCTTTATTTTTACAGTAGTTCATTTATCATTTAAGCTCACAGAACGCATACTTGATCATTCATTTTGATTATATGTTAGTGTATCAGTAAATTGAAACTTAAATGGGGCGGGGCAGTGAAACTTAAGTGGGACGGTGAGGGGGATTTTGCTAAACAGTTTTTGGTGGGGAGACTTAAACGGGAGGGGGAAGGTACTCCTGCCCCCTTTACCATCCCTATGTACGTTGTAATTAATCAAGAAGAAGAAAGGTTGTAATGATAATCATGAAGAAAGGTAGTAGTAAGAGCACTCTCTCTATTAGTTTCACTTGGTAATAACCAACTAATTACCCATCAAATATCGAAATTTCAGTGAGGTCACTTAGCTTTCCATAGTAAATATAGCTAGGGGTGCAAATTGTTGGGCCCAATTCGGACAAACTCGATCCTAGTTCCAAAGTTTTTGGGCGGGCTGTTTAACTTGCAATTTGGTCCGAGCTTGGTTTGAAAAGTAACAACCCCATTTCATTTTGATTGGAGCTCTAGTTACTGTGTGGATCAATTTGAAGCCTAACCTGAGGCGGTCTTGAACTATATTTAAACCCGACTTATCAACCCTAACAATGAATCGGATATATACTGTAGAGCTGAGCTCCCCTCCTTGATGGGGAGGATTTCTCCCCCAAATTTTTTTGTTGGAAAAAATAACCTCCGAGTATGTCAGCTCATAAAAGGTGGCTATTTATGTTATTTCAAAACTTACTTCCCCAGCTTCTATCTCACGTGCCTCTCCCCCAAGAGTGATCGACCTTGTGCACCAGGTGGGTTTCTTCTCTCCCACTGCACCACCACCACCTGATCGAACCTAGTCCCCCACACCCATATCGGTGTCCCCTTTGGTCTCTGTTATCTCTTCGTGGGGCAGTATTCTTTATTTTTTTTTCCAAAATTGTATGATTGTTGTGCTTAAATTTTATGAGCACCACTGCCACCAGATCGAAACTAGTCCGCCACACCAATATCGGTGTTCCTTTGGTCTTTGATATCTCTTCGTTGGCCTGTATTTGTTTCAATATTTTTTCCGAAATTGTATGATTATTGTGCAGAAGTTTTATGCCCTTGACTATATTGGATCAATTTGCATTTCATCTCTATTGGAAATATTTGTGCTTTTGGATTCAGATATTCTCTACCTAGTTTGATTTGGTGTAGATCTGATTGTAGCAAATACATAGCATCGGCTTATGTACCTTAACAGGCGCGAGTGGTAGGGATTAAGTTTGTCTTGTTTCATATGTTTTGTTTTGTTTTGTTTTTTTTTTTTTTCCCTTCGCAAACTAGGTGGAGTGGGGATTTGAACTCGGGCACACCTGCTCGAGGAGCTAGGTGCTCTATCAACTAGGCCAGTAATGGCCTCTTGTTTCGTATGCGAGCTTTTATGTTTTTTATACACAAGTGCATAAACCCTTTTGTGCATCCGACGAATGTTGGGATTCCATTCTCTAGTAGTTATTTTGCACTATAAACTGAATTGAAGTACAGTATATAATTATGTGATTGCCTCCCCATTGTGATTTAGTTGTTTATTTCGATTATGTTTTTTTTTTTTTTTTTTTCCTTCTGAAGGTTATTCTTATATTGGAGTGCCTTTTAAGGAGGTCAGAATTCAGAGCAGATACTGTAATTGGGGCAAGGATGTCTGAGGTGTCTACTTAAACTTGAATACATTCACATTCCCTTTTCATGCACTCGGATCCTCACTTATAATCTCCTCTGTTGTAATTGGGGCATATGTAATATGTTGAAAACAGGTGTAATTGTGTTGAAAAACCCTATGGCACCACTACAGCAAGGGAGATTACAGCAGAGGATCGGGGCTCCCTTTTTCTTACTTATATTACTGTTCGTGCATTTATTTTAATGATATGCACTATTATCTTTTTGTGGTCGTCTTCACGTGTTGATGTTAGTGTTGTTCAGATAATGACAGGTTGGATATGCTCATCTAAAGAAGAAATTGTTTGTGATGATGACAAACCTCTATTTCTCTCTTTTATGAATGAGCTATTTCAAAGAAAAGTACCAAAAACAGAAGAAGTTGGAAAGAAGGAATCATCTGATTATCAAGGTAAATATTGCCCACCAATAATTTTGTATCAAATTTGTCAGTTTGGCATAATAGATTGTGCCATCGCTTTTCTCGGAGGGGAGACTGGTTTCATCGCTGATCTCAATATTCCGTTTAACGATGGATTATATCCATTGCATTTAGCAGCTAATAGTTTATCATATGAAATGATTGCGACATTACTTTGCCATGGAGCTCGGACTGATGCAGAACCATAGAGGGTGAATTTAGGGGCGACTTGTTTCCTCTCAACGTATCACTTGAAACAGTAAGGTAGAAGACAGATTTTATAATATAAAATTATTCTTTCTTATATCTTTCATGGGGCCTATAATATGAACTTAGATCAAGGTTTAATACATCATTCTTAACTACCTAATTCTTTTCCCTTTTTCTTGATTGTATTTTTAATGTGGCTGATGCAGTTATCATCGATCCTTGATTGATTGGACCCCAAAAAAATCTATCTTCAAGTTGATCGTTGTTCTTTTGTCTGCCTCAAATGGTTTGTTTAGACAAAATTTATGTGTATTACAAATAATGTTTACTTTCTATACATTTGAATGGGTTGAGTGGTCTGATCTATTTTTTTTTTTTCCTTTCTGTTTGTTGCTTATTATGGTTAAATGTGGCAGAAAGTACCATTACAAATTAATAGGTTGCTGGCATGGAACACAAAGGAGGTTGATAAAGTATTTATTCATTATGCTATGGAGGGAGAACTTATTGAGATGGCTACTCTACTGTTGGTTGCTCGAGAAAAGTTAACCCTTTAAGCATATTCTATTTGGTATGTGTTGCAATTTAATCTGTTTCAGTTTGTGCTTATTGAGTTTCAGTGTTAGTCTTTAAGCATATTCTATTTGGTAAGTGTTCTAAGATTTTTCAATGATGCCCACTAGTGTAACTAATGTTTAAGATGTTACTGGATACTCCTAGAACCCTTAGAATCAGTTTTATAAATCAACTGAATGGTAGAAATATGCCAGAGATGAAGCAGAGGGTCGATGCCGGAGCAAAAAGGGGAACGGAGCTCTCAAATAAGGTGAGAGCCGGCTCCAGGAAGTTGGGAGCCGGCTCCCCCTTCATTGAGCCGGCTCCAAGAGTATAGGAGCCAGCTCCAAAGTGTTTTGGAGCCTGCTCAACTTGTCTAGAGCCGGCTCCACTTTTCTCCGACGTTCGGTGGTTAGTTTTAAGGCACTGTTTGATATTTTTGGCACTGTTTGAGTTCAAATTAGACTTTCTGAACTGTGTTGAGTTAGGGAAAGGTTTTTAAAAATTAATTCATGAAGTGTTTAAGCCTTAGGGTGCATTAATTTAACTATATGCTAATGTTTTAAACCGTAGGAAAATCTAAGGCAAGTCGCAGGCAGTTTACGGATTTAGCGGATCGAAAGGATTTAACTGTGCAAACTGTGTCTAAAAATTAAAAAGAGTTGGAACATGGATTCCAAATATTATACCATACTATCTTTAATAAATTAAGGTCTTAGTACTCATGAGTTTAACCGTAGAAAAGTATATAACAGTACAGGCGATTAACGGATGGAATGAGCTTAATTGCTTAAGTAAACTTTAGCAATTTAACGAAATATTATTATAATTATAAATCTTAATTTTTGGTGGCATGCTAGGACCATTTAATTAACAAGTTTGGTCTGTGTATAGTTTGGACATTATTGGTTAAAATATTAAATTCTTTTCTGCAATACATGGATGTAAGATTTGAATTACAATTGTTGTAATATTAAGCATTACACTGCAATTATTTGGGTTAGGATTTGGATTTAAATTGTTGAACCAGTACTTAGGCTTTATAAATCTAATTCAATGCTTGGCCTGGAATTAATTGAGGAATTATATTTATATTTTCTGTCAATTAACGGGATGGATGCTGGATTTTAACTTAATGAGTTACTAAACTTTGTCTCGTTTAATTACATGGATGGATTTGTTTTTGGATATTAATTGCTGAACTATTATTAATAGTCTATAATTGTTACATGATCGTGGATTTAATTGCTGAATTATTATATGTTCAGTCAATTACATGGATATGGAGGATTGTATGAACCGGTATGGGACGGTGTCATACTAGGTTTGGACAGCACCAGTTGCTAAAGTCCTACCTATACTGGAATAAGGGTTCGGATGATTAAAACAGAATCCACCCTAAATACTTAAGTCTGTGCAGTTGAATAAGCTGAACGACTTACTGAATTTTTTATGGATGAATGTAAATGGATTTTAAATATATCATTATGTTACCGTGACAAGAGCTTGAGTCTCGTAGTCGACGGTTAGGGTGCGTATATGCAGTAGGATGCGTAGCTAGCTATGTTGGTTGAGGTATACCCTGTTAGGCTTAGGTAGTCATGCCCACTCAGGTGCGTATTGCATGTTACCTTCTATTCAGGTTGAGACCCTCAGCATAGTTGGTGAGAGTCCTGTAGTATGGATATATATTTATCTATTACGGACTATATAAATATGTTTGAGACGTCTAGGATGTATCTGCGTATCGAGTCTCTGTTTGGATTGTAGTTAGGATAGAACTTGTTCGTGGGCCTGACCCACTATTATTTTTCAGGTAACGGACGGTTCCAGGTCTTAGAGCTTGTTCGTGCCGAGCAGAGATGACTACTCATTCTATCGACGATGTAGGGGGTTCTTCATGGTTTAGCAGTGGACTTCTTTTTAGTTGTTCGCTTTCCAGTATTGGCTTTTGATTAGGGGTCCACCAGATGGATTCCCGAGTTGTATTATAATTGGAGGAGTTGGATGTAACAGACTAGTTCTTATTTATAAGATTTATTTTGAAGTTTTCAGTAAAGGATTTGCATTTAGTTTCTTTCCAGCGAATTTTATTTACTCATGTTTATCTTAATTATATTCTGTGTTCGATTATTGCTAATTGTTTTGATATCCTCGGGTAATCAGGCGTGGGCCTGGCCAACCCACATTCGGAAATCCGGGGGTATCACAGTACTTGAATACAAGAAAGACAAACTATGGAACTTGAAGCAATCATTTGAGCTTAAAGCTAATATTAAAATTTGAAATTGCTTAAGGACCATTGTGAGCAATTCTGGGAACTCTTGTATTTTAATTGTGCACTTCTTTGCATGCTTGTGATAGCCCTTGTTGAGGCTCGTTATATTGCTTAAATTTTTTGTCCAAGCATCGACCCGCGTGGAGGCCAATATTTTATTACATTTAGATTTTTAATTGTGAATAGAGGACTTGTTTGATCCAAGTTTGGGGGGAAATTATATCCCTTCACCTTACACTCCTCCGTCATATTTTAATCCTTATGAGATTGAGTTCAATGTTCAACATGCATCATTTTATCATGGACTTAATCACTCTTTTAATCCTTCTTATGACTACTACCCTCCCCCACCATTTTATGAAGAACCACCTCCATTACCTTGTTCACCCGAGTTTCAAGAAAAAGTGTTAGCTCTACTTAATGGGCTTAATTCACACACTCAAGATATTAATTCTCATTTTCCAATCTTAGCCAAGCTTGAAGCTCAAATTGAGCAAATTGCAAGTACTCTTTCTCGTTAAGAGAAGGAGGAAGAGGCAACTGAAAAAATGGCAAGAACTTCAATTTGTATAAATGAGGATAAGGAGATCGAGGAGGATAAGAAAAATGATCTAATGCCTAGCACTCTATCTTGTATAGAGGATGAAGTGGCAAGTGAGTTAGTGGCTACTCCAATAGAGCACAACATGATTAATGAGGACTTCCCTTGTTTTGATCATGATTTTATCCCGGCCATTGTTACTTTAGAGAGTGAGGAAATGTTGACCACTATAGAGGTAGAAGAGATGGAGGAGGAACTTGTTGAAGAAGGCCTTCCTTCTATTATCTCCAAAAATCCTCTCGAGACATGCCATTTTGAAATGTATAAAAATTATGGTTTTGACCTTGAAAGCTCCAAAAATGAAGTGAACTCTCTAATGGACTCCTTAGCTAACTTAAAAGGTGAGTAGATGGTGATTTTTAAGGAAGGGAAAAAGAATGAAGAGAATGTAACTTCTATTAATCCAATTGAGTCTTTGAAATACTTTGCATTGCTAAGTGTAAGGCCGCCCATCGTTGATTTTATTTTCAAGACCGTGGATGAAAAGAAACAAATTGCATCTTCCATAATTTCTTTTCAAGTCATTCTTTTGGAAGATGATTTCTTTGTTGTAAGTGAGGCATTAATGAGAAAATGGAAAAGAGGGTCAATAAAGATGTTTCATATCCGGTTTTGGATACATTTGACTAGTAAGTTGAACCAACGTCTTGCTAAAGACGTTAAACACTAATATTCGTAAAGTTTCACAACTTTATTCCTTCCCCCTTTTTTTATTTTTTTTTTCTTGCGGCGCCTAGATACGTTTCATTGTACTTCATTGTCAAAAATCAGGTTTTTAGACCATATTCATGCATTTTGGGCCCTTAGAAAATTTTTGCATTTGAAATTTTTTCGAAATTCAGCAATTAGTGTCCAGGTAGTTCGATCGATCGAAGACTTTTTCAATCGATCAACACTTATTCCGATCGATCGAATATGGTCTCAATCGATCAAAAATAATTTCGAACGATCGAAATTGCGTCGAAATTTTTTTTATTTCAAGGCAATACTGTTCATGTTTTCGATCGATCATGGCCAGCTCGATCAATTGAAGTAAATTTCGATCAATCGAGCACTGTTCAAAAAAAGAAAAAAATTGTATCCCTTATTTCCTTGCATGTTTATTTGTTTTATTTTTGTGTGTGTGTACATACTTGTTATGTCTAATAAAATAAAAAATAAAAAAAGTTTTTATTTTCATTTTTCATTATTTTGTTCTTGCATTTTTTTTTTTTTCTTTTTGTTTTTCATTTATTGCATTGTACATATTATTTCATTGCATTTTACCTTCTTTATTTTTCTTTTTGTATTTTGTTCATACATTTTATTCTTTATTTTTCTTATATTTTGTCTATACTTGCTTTCATAAAATGAAAAATATAAAAATTTATTTCACCATTGTGCCCTTATGTGTAGTCATGCTACTTTCATATTTTCTATTGGGCTTGATCTTATATCTCTCATTCATATTATGCTATATTGCCTTAGAATGATTGATTTGGTTATCTTTATCTCATTTGATATTTGATGCGAGTTTGCTAGCGTAGTTATTCAAGTAGGTTATTGATTCCAAGTTTGGAGGTGCACTATTTCCCAATGGATTACTACTAGGCTTCATGTCTTTGCCACCATGGTATATTCTTTCCATATTTTCCATTGTTCTCATTGCACGTTGAGGACAATGTGCGGTTTAAGTTCGGGGTAAGGTGATTTTGTTGTATTCTACATAAGTTTGAGACTTAACTGCATGATTGAGATTTGAGATCCATTTGAGTTATGATTTTGATCTTTTGAGGACCATCATATTTAGAATTTAAAAATTGCTTGACTTGAGAGTTCAATACTCCTTGTATGCCTTGTGGATACCATTTAAGAGTAAATTTTTTGAAAGATTGATATCATGCTTGTATTTGTGATTCACATCATCTTGACTTTATGATTGCTTTGAGATTCTCTCTAGGATTCTACACTAGCACATGCGCACACTAGTATTCATTTATGGAGTACATCATTTGTTGATTATTGATTTGGTTATATCCCAATTGGGCTAGTAGTGCATTAAAAGCTTTCATCTTGACAAAAGTGGATAACAAACCCTTTTCATTGAGTAGCCAGGATTCTAGCCTCATCAAGCATTGAATTTATCGCGCCGAAAGGTGGAGGGTTCAAACTCTAGGTTAATAACTTGATTAAAAAAAAAAAGTAAGTTTGCAAAAAATAAATTAAAAGTGAGGACTTCTCCCAAAAGGTGAGAAGTGGGAAATGATTAGATGGAGGTTGTTTTGATTTGTAACCTAGTCGATTTGAGCTTGTAAATCCTTAGGGATGTTTGAACACCTAATGCCCTAAAGCCATCCTGTTTGGGAGTCATTGACCTAACGCTCGACCTCATGGATCGCTAAAAAGCTTAATAAATCACTATATTGCGCCATACTTCCATCTTTGATCCTCTAGGATAAATAAAAAAAATAAAATAAAAAATCGAGTGAAAAGAATAAGCGCACCTAGATCAATAAAACTTTATTAAAATGTTCACTCTTTGTTTTGATGATCGGGACTAGATTTGTGTGTTAGTTTGAGGGAAAGGATGTGATTATTTTTTTAGTTGGCTTAGATAGCAACATATTTGATACCGGTTCACTCAAAAAGGATTCTAGTGTTATTTTGATTTACATAATCATTGTCTTGATGTGTGGAAAACCATATTTGTTTGCTTGATGCTAAATTTTTGGGAGATTGCTTGGAAAGGGTTGAAAAATTGAATACTTGAGTTAGTTTTTGTAATACTCCTAATTTCAAAAGGGATAAAAATGGAATTTAAATTTTATTTTTGTGCATTTTAAATTGATTTTGTATCTATATGCTTATGTGTCCAATTGTTTGTTTATTTTAATTCATTGTGTTATTTTTTTAAGTGTTTGATTATTTTAATTAAGGGTGTAATTCTTTATTTGTTGGTTTATTTTAATTAATTGTTTTATTTATTTTATGTGTTTTAAGTGATTCGTTGCTTGCTTATTTGATTTAATTAATGAGTTTTATTAAATTAATTATTTATTAAGTATTTAATTTTTGAACAGGGTAATTATGTAATTCCCATTAACTAGGGTTTTAGATACGTTTTAGTTAGGGTTTTTGGAGCCGTCTCGTAGGCATCTGATATGTAACTAAACTGGGTTACTTAGTGGGCCGACGAAGTTAGGGCTCTGTGGATTAGGGTTTAAATCTAGCAATTATAAATACCTCAGTATATGTTAAACCTAGGGTTACATATTGTCGTAGCTTTTACACGGAAAAGTCTACCAAATAGAGAGAGTTACAGAGGGAGTTTTGGTGAGAACAAAGCAGTTTGTGAGAATTTCGACTGGGGTTCCAAGGTTTAACCTAGGAGAAGGGAAGAACAGAAGTAATAGGAGACTAAGCAGTATTTCAGTGTGGCCAGAACAGAGGAAAGCAGACCAACAATTACAGAGGCAAGTTCTATCTTCCTCTTTCCCTTTGGGCCGTGTTCTGTGCACCTAGATAATCTCTAGGGTTTAATCAAGCAGAAACTGGAATTGATATGTTTATTATGTGTTATATTGTTGGTCTGTATGTGTTGAAATCAATATCTGTTACAGTGTATGCAAGTGTTGTTTCAGTTTTCTGTACTTTAAGCAGATGGTTTCCATCGTAGCCTTAGTTTCTGTATTTGATTGCAACTCTTGTAGACACAATATAGGAACTCTACTGGGGTTATACAAAACTCATAGGGATGTTATTATTCTGTTTTAAATACGTGTGCAATCTATTCCGTTTCTGTTTTTGCATATAGTTTCAGTTTTGATACTAAAAGCTTGGTAAGTTCAATAGCAACCTTAAGCTTTGTAATTGTTTTAAATTACTGTAAACAAACCTTGGAGATGTTAATAGAGTGATAATAAACCCTTAAGATCAGTTTAAGAAATAAACAGAAGGGTAGGGGCTGACCAGAGAACGAGCAGATAGGTAAAAACGGAGCAGAGATGAACTGGAGGCTCTCAAGAGGGAGAGAGCCGGCTCTAGGAAGTCAAGAGCCGGCTCCCCTTCAGCAAGAGCCGGCTCCTAAGGAATTGGAGCCGGCTCCAATAGGGGAAGAGCCGGCTCTTCCATTCCAAGAGCCGGCTCCAATTTGTTTTTACGTCCAGAAAGTGTTTTTAG